TCGTCTGAAAGTTCTCTCTTCTTTCTCTCACTGAGACCCCTATTTATAGGTGTGGAGGGGTGAAAATATGCTTTTAGGGTTGTGAAATTCGTTCATATGCTTAGGGCCTCAAAGAAAATGGGTTTTGGGCTCTATTTGCTTGCATTTGATAGCTAGAAAAATCATCACTTGTTTGATGTATCTGGACAGCCTTTTTAACAAGGTTCACAACCATTTTTCATGCATACGGATGGATTTCTTAACCACATTCATTGCTCTTTTTATTAATTGGATCATGACTCTTATATATTGAGCCAATATTTGATAATGGGCTCAACATTAATAGAATCGGTCCATTCTTTACAAGATTTAATTCATAACTAAATCAATTGGGTATTTTTTTAATGACCTAGATTAATTCAATTATTAAATTTTATCCGAATGGGTCCATATTAATATTTTTATAAAACCCAAGAACCATCACGAGTTGTCCAATAATATAGCCCGGTAGCTTTTAAGAGCTCAATAGCTATCATAGTTGGCCCAGTAATTTTTATATGTCCACCGAGATTATTCTGGAATTATACATGTCATAATTAATATCAGAAAAACACTTACATGTGGGGTTATTAATGTGATTTTTTGCAAATAAATTATATTTCACTTAAATAAGGAAAGCTGATTGATAATATGATTAATTAAACACCGTGGACCACTCAAGTTGCACCTAGGGATGTCAAAAAAAACAGGCCCGCAATGACCCGCCCTGACTCGAGACACAGGGGCGGATCTAGCATCGACGTTCAGCAGGGGTCAAATTTAATTGAAGTGTTAAAATATAATATTCCTTTAAATAATTACTTACGTTCTTAAATAAATGCAACATGTTGAATTTTACACTATTCATATATTATATTTTGATTACACTTTATTTTTTAATGAATTAATAACTTTTTTAAAATATTGTTCAACTTGTCTAATTGTAAATTTTCAAAATCTTATTTTTATTTTTATTTTTTTTACTAATAACGAATAATATATGGAGTATATTACTGGTCAAAGTTGTGCATCAACAAATGTAACAAGTAGACAATTGCATTTACTTAAGAACAAATGTAGTTTATATTTAATAAAACTTATTTTCATGTGTAAAATAACATATGTTACAACATAAATTTCTAAGACAAAAATAAATATTATGAGAATAAGATTTTTTGTCAAAATCAATTACATAAACACCTTAAACCCATAATTATTGGACTTATTTTCACCTCCAAACCCAAGAGTTGAAGATATGCTCTCTATTTCAAAATGAAAAATGTTGTCCCTAGGAATCAAACCCAAGATCTTCATAGTACTACACCTAGCATAGACATGATCTACCACCATCTAACCATTTTCATTTTTGTTAACCTTTTGACTGTTATTATTTTTATACCATTTCTACACAACATTAAATATATTAAAATACATATATATACATACTAATTGTTTTATTTTTTTTGAGCATGGGCCTAGGCCCTCCCTGGCCCATAGCTAGATCCGCCCCTGCCGAGACATTTGGTGGGTCTGGCCTGCCCCGTCTTGCAAATGGGGCGGGTCCGTCCCGCCCCGCATATACAATGGGACAGGTCCGTGTATTAGTATTGACATACTGCCCCGCCCTGCCCCGACCCGCTCAATATATAAGTATATACATACTTTTTCTTAAATTATACTACAAATATATACTTCAACATACATATGTCTTCTTTATATTAGATTGAGATGAATTGTGGATTATCAATGTCTTCTTTATATATAGCATTTTAATACATATATTCAAGTATTAATATAATTAAATAGATTAACTATTCAAGTCTAAGTGATTTTTCCTTAACTTTTGAAATTTCTAGCGTATCGTGAATTTGATTTAATATCTTAATTTTTAATAATTATTTAAAGATAAATTTTATTTAGATTCAATTGCTAACAAGTTCTTACAAATAAAAATACATACAAGCTAATTAGGTTACGGCGGGGCGGGGTGAACCTGCCCCGCATGGGGCGGATCATGGGTCAACAAATTTGGACCCGTGCACGTCACGGGACGGGGCGGACCTACCCCATCAACCATGGGCGGATCTACGTGTTAAGTAGGGTAAGCACCTGTCGAGTCAGGGTGGGGGGCTCTTGAGGTGGGAGATTTGGAACAAGCTAAGCAGCGGCTTCACAACCTCAATTATTGTTACTAGCCTATTTGGTAATAACATTGGTTTTAAAATCCTTTCTTGGCTTCACGTTGGAGGGTCGAAACTTTCGAAGGCTACACGGTACACCCCATTTCTTTAGTTTTTTGAAGTGCATTACTCTTAAGACTACACTTTTTTATTTCACAGCTGCTATTCCCCCTAGGCTTGGACTCGGGTCGGGCCACCCGGCCCGCTACTGTGCGGGACCGGGACCGGCCCGGTTCTCGGGTCCGGGTCCGGGTCGGGCTTAGGCCCGGGGGGTAGGGCGGGTCCGGGCTCGGGTCTCAATTTTTGTGAACCGGCCCGGCCGGGTCGGGCCCGGGCCCGGGCCAAATTGAATTTTTTTTATTTTTATTTTTTCATTTTTGGGGTTCCACCCGGGTTGGGCTTGATGGGTAGGATGGGTTTGGAGGGTTTGGGAGGGTGGGGGTGAGGGGGGGGGTTAGGAAAGCAAAAATAAAAAATAAAAAATCCAAACCGGAGGCCCGGCCCGGCCCGGCCCGGACCCGGACCGGACCCGGTGGCTACCCGGGCCGGTCCCGAGTCCACCATTCTTGAACCGCCGACCCGCCCGGGCCTAGGCCCGACCCGGACCCGGACCGGACCCGAGTCCACCCCTAATTCCCCCCAGGTTTTCGAAGGCAACGTATTCACTATTACATCATGTTTTTAGTCACATATTGTTATTAAAGACTTACTCCGCAGTCCGTACATCATGTTTTTAAAAACTTAATATTGTTCTTACATACTTGTATTATTATTATTATTATTATTATTATTGTTATTATTATTGGAAGGTCTTACTCATATTATTATTGTTATTATTGTTTTTATTTTAACATCTAGCTGTAAATTGTACTTCCTCCGATCCCAAATCAAATTGTCCAAAATAAACTTCACACTTCTTCTCCCTTCCTTATTTAGCAAATTATCTACATCAAAACAGTGCAAAACAGTGCCAAACAGTGTCACAATAGTGAAAATCAAATTTATTTTCTTAATTTGTGTGAAGTTAAAGTGTGAATTTCATTTGGAACCGAAGGGAGTATTATATAATACTTCATTAGTTAAGCAAGTAAATCTCCTTTACTATTCCGTCTCACCAACATGATTTGCAAAGTCAATTTTCTTGATCAATATAGTTTCACTTTATTTACTTATCCCACAAATCAATGTTTTATTATAGTTTAATTTTAACTTTGAGAGTCTATGGAACAATGTATTTTTCAAATATGTAAATTTTAATTTTAAAAATGATTTGATTGTCTCCAGGGATGATATAACGTTATCATCGATAAAAAATTGAATAATCTATTTCCGGTTAAAAATAATAATTTAAACGGACTATACAAAATAGACCAGTGTTGTATACGACCCGATAGGGATGGATTCAGGCCGAGTCGGGCCCGGTCGGGCCGCCGGTTCTAGAATAGTGGGCCCAGGACCGGCCCGAGGGTTGGACGGGTCCGGTTCGGGCCAGGCCACCCGCCCGGGTCACGGGTCGGGTCCGGTTCGGGCCGGGTCGGTTAATTTTTTTTTATATAATTTATATTTTATAGTTTATAGTTTTATATGAGTATTAAAAACAAACTTCAATTGCATTTATTTGAAATGAAATAGGAACTACATTTGAAAATCAAAACAAACTTTAAGAGATAAACATTTTGAAAATTGTAATCAATCGGAACTTCCCGCACCTCCCGATCCTTTGGCTTTGTCACATGACTTCATATGCTTGATTGCCATCCCGAATCCGCCTGAAGCCCCCATGATACATTTTTTTTCGCACCATTTGCAAATTGCGTACCACATCCCGATCTTCGGGTCCTTCTGCTTATCAAAATTATACCGTATAATGGCATCTTGATTTTCCATCTTAACTTCTTGGAGAAGAGAATTAGAGAGTAGATATATAATATATTGGAGAATAAGAGAGTAGAGAGTTAAGAATAGGATTTAGGAAGAATTGGAGAAGAGATATGAAAAAATGTTTAAGATTAGGAGTATTTATAGGTTTTTTTACCCCCCACCCCCCCACCATCCCCCCACCACCCAACCCCCCCGGACCCCCCCTTTACCCCACCCAACGGCTATATAGCCGTTTGGGTTGTCCCCAGCCCCACCCTCAACGGCTAGTAGGAGCCCAAACCAAAAAAAAAAAAAATTAAAATTGAACCGGACCCGGGCCCGGGCCCGACCCGGCCGGGCCGGGTCACAAAAATGCTGAACCGAGCCCGCCCCGCCCCTTCCCCCCGGTTCGGGCCCAGACCCGGTCCCGGACCGCCCGACCGGGCCGGTCCCGGACCGCCCGACCGGGCCGGGCCGGGTCACGGGCCGGGTGGCCCGAACCGAATCCACCCCTACGACGCGATCACCCGACCCGTTTTCATTCATGTGACAGTGCCCCTGCTTTAGAAAACTTCTGGGTCCACCATTGTATATGTGCATACACTGACCTCCGATGCCTAAATCCGTCATTGCCGTCAAGTCACGGGGTGGGTCTGGGTCTTGCAGTACCGCACCGACGCGACCCATTGACATGCCTAGTTGCACCCGCCTTAGTCCACAAGTGGTAGACACCGCTAACTTCCAAAAGTACACATAATATGATTAATATCATAGGGAGCTGAATTTATTACCACAATTAAAACTAAAAAGGTTTAGAATAGTAGAAGCAAGATAGTAAAGGTTTAGAACACCAGTCATATCTTACTTCCTAACTGTATGTTTTAGTATTTTCAAAACATGAATAGCAAAAACTTAAGACCATTAATCTATCGCTTAGTAAAGAAAAACAAAACAAAACAAAGAAAAACAAAACAATCACACTTAACATGATGAACTTGTATCAATCATATCGACCAAATGCATACCTTGGACATATAGTAATCACTCTTAACATGATGAACTTGTATAAATCATATCGACCAAATGCATACCTTGGGCATATAGTCAGTAACGCATGAAGGAAATAAGGGATGTACATTTTCTTTCTCAATAAAGCCTTTACAAAGCTCTCAGAAGTAGGATTTCCCTCAAAAATCAAAGAACTCCATGCCTGACCTAGGTTGGGATGGTACAGTTTGCGCATGAAGGAGGTTAATAGAAATAATTTATTTGTCAAAGGTGACTTGCTTATCTTATGTACTAGAAGCATGATGACGAATGCAATTCCTTGTTTACGGCATTACCATCAACGTGAAACTTGATCCATTATTGTGAACGGTCTAATCCATCTAACTGTGATTAAGAACAGGCATCATTTGGAACATTATTATTACTTGAACCAACGTGTGATTTCCTTTCCTTCAGACTGTCAAGGTAATTCTGATATATGTAAGTTGTGAAACCCCACATTGACATGAGTAAGGCAATGATCTTTATACCGCTCATCTTATCGTGCAGGATGATCACCGAAGCAGCAGGAGTGACAGCTAGAGAAAGAGTACTGATAACATTGGAGAAGAGTGAGGACACCACAAAAATCAGACCCACAACACCAACCGCACATATCTGCCACCCCACACCTGTCCACACCAAGACCTGCACATATGCAGCTTTTCCTGAAGTGAACCTGTGCATTTCTCCAGACAAAGTTCTCCAATCGCCACTCACAAACAGCCCGGCGATGGAGACTGCTGTGGCTACCAGTGATGTAAATATTTGCATTTCAAGAACCACAGAGAAAGTTTCTTTCTTTATGACTTTCTGAAATGAAAGCTGCATCAAGGACAGTGTGAGGGAGTACAATGCAGAGGCTATGATAGCAGCAATAATTCCAAATATATATTTCCACCTAGTTACTCCCGAAGGTTCATCGGAGTCCCCATCAATGGCAAGCATACAGGCAGCTAACGAAAGGACAACCACAGAGTTAAAGATAAACATTGTGAATTTTTGGCCATTGATGAAAAAAGAAAAAATGGCATTGAAGACTAGTTGTGTTGCACAAATAAGGGAATAAGTCGAGGCCGATAAGTACAAAAGTGAAATGGAATATAGCATGTTGTCCCCAGCAATAAGGGCCCCAAGCAAGAGGTAGGCCATAACAACCTTCATGGCAGATGGTTGAGGTGAGGGGTGGTTTGATGAATCAGTCGAGTGTGGTTTGGGAGATGGAATAAGAAAATAAGGGATTAAAAGCACAGGAAACCCAGCTGTCTGAATAATTGTGGCCAACCATGTACTGTTCCCGCCTTTGCCATAGTATATTCTTCCAAGAATGATGGCAGCAGCCTGACCAACAAGGAGGAACACCACATTCAGGGATAGCAGAAGCCAGAAGTGCAAGCGTTTGAGTTTCGTAAGCGAGTTCAGTTCGCTTGAAGCATGGTCTTTTACCAAAATTGATGCTTCATTTTCTGCCATAGGTCATCATGAATGGTAAAGGATTCAGCAAAAGTTCATAAAAAGCATGTAAGAGAACAAGATCCCACACACATTTCTACCTATGCATTAGATACTGAGCAAGAATGCCGAAAAAGGAACCTTGAAGGCTTGAAGAAATTATTAACCAGAATTGAAAAAAAAAACTCACACACTTGTATACATAGAAGGAAAAAGAAGAGATTACCTGCCATGGAGGAAGGAAATCCAACCGAGGAAGTGTAAACGACAGCCTGTGATAGTGAGATGGAATGAGTGAAGACGGAAGATCCTATTATTAGATACTCCAAAAATAAGAGAAACTAAACTTCTATCAATGTATAATACATATTTTCATCAGAGTGTAACCTTGTATTCCATACACGGTTAGAGTGTATTCCATATTTCTATCAATGTAGCCTAGACTTTCAGGAAATTAACCAAACACGTCTAAACTAATACCGAAACAGTATTATCAATAATTCACCTAGGGCCGTCAAATAAATTTGGAAAATCTATTCTACATAGCAAACTGAGGCCCCACATTATAAATGAAAATAAATCACATATAGAGCAATATAAACTTTAGACATAAACCTTAAAGAGTAACTTCAAAACTGAATTTAACAGTAAAAACAAACCTAAATGCTCAAATCTGTAGTAATATACTAATATGAATCTAATATAGAAATTTATAAATAAACTGGAATATATTAATCTATCACTAATAGAGCAATATTCTAATATGAGGTGTATGTTTAAAATCTGAAAATTAGAGTTTAATGAAATCTAGAATCTGAAATCAGTAATATGATTAACTAAGAATAGTCAATAAAATGTGATAAAATATAATCTAACACTAATAAAATTTACACTAATATGATTAAATAATCAAGGTCTCACACTGTGATATGAAATTTTACACTAATCTAAATCTGGGAATTAAGAATAATCGTTAATCAAGTAAATTAGATTAACAGAAAATAAAATCAAACAGAGTAATTGTTGAAATCCCTATGCAGTGATGAACGATAATCAATTACTGATATATCGTTAATTCAAATTCATACCTAATCAAAATTCAAACCTAATCATCTACTCCCTCCATCCCAAAAGTATAGTTGTATTTCCTTTCCATTTTGGGATGTCCCAAAATGAGGGTGTGTTTCCCTTTTTGGAAAGAATGTTGTGCCCAAATCTCAAACGGGCAACTTTTACCTTTCAATCATTTTATTAAAACTTGTGCCCAAACTAGAAATTCAAATTCGGACAGGGAGTAATAGTTAGAAAGGCATACCTGATCGAACAGCCTGTCTCCCTGAATAGGGAAGCTGAAGACAGGTGAGCTGAGAGGGCGAGAGGCGCGATTCTTAGTGAATATGTTTTTCTATCGACGATTGGTGAACTCGAACTCGATGTCCCCAACGATTGGGAAGGGAGAACTTGAAGAAAGCACTGTAGGAGAGCAGATGAGGAGCTTTGAGAAATTGAGAAATGAGAAATGAGAAGAAACGATGTAGCCGATTCGGTGATTCCCTGCCCTTTCTGTTGCTCACTGGCCGCGATTCCCATTCCTAGCAAGTGTTTACTTCGGAAAAGGGTAGAGCAAAACAATTTACATAGTTTCTTTTAATTACGGAGTATTTGATATAAAATGTAGGAATTTTTTTAAAACAGTTCAGATAATCTTGGTAAAATACTTTACATTGTTAATACTACTTATAAAATGTATTACCTCCGTCTTAATGGACTTTGCACTCCTTAAGTTAGGTGAGAAATAATAATAGTAAAAATTGTATAGTTCAAATTTATGCAGAGAAGAGACAAATGAATAGAATCAGAAAATAGTTAATTTAATGAGAAAGTGACAAAGTTTTTTGAGACAACCAAAAGAATAAAGATGACAAAGTACAATGGAACGAAGGACGGAGGGAGTATTAATTTTAAACTATTATTACGATTCAATGATTCATCGTATCCCTAATTTTGACGAACAAAACCTCACGCCGGCAAAAGAAAATTTTTAGCGCTGCAATGTGCACGTTGCACATGTGGCATGAGAAAGATAAACACATAAGATTGATTTTATGACATTTCTCTCTCCGTCTTTCCACGGTCTTATGTGTTTTTGGTAAGTTTTTCCCTGCAATGTCAACCATAATATCAAACATCTAGATATTGTGCTTGACATTGTGAAGAAAAATTTACCAAAATGATATAAGATCCTTCAAATAAGGAGAGTGATATTCTATTTATTGTTTTTTCATTGGCTCTCTCATGCCACGTATGCACCGTTAACGTTTTAGCATTGAAGATGCTCTAAATCATTCCTCTCTTGTATCTAGGGCAGAGCACGGGTCAGGTTCGGGCGGGTCGGGTTCAAAAATGATAAACCCGTTCGGGTATCGGATTGATAATTCCAAACCCTACCCTATCAAAAAATTTATCGGTTTTTTTTGGGTTGATGAAATTCGGGTTGTGATCGGGTTGATTCGGGTTTCGGGTCCATTCGGATTTTAATTTATTATTGTTGAAATTGTGATAAATAAAATGGTAATTGGTAAAAATATCAGTCAACGTTATACTAGTATATCATTCAAAGTAGAAGTTGTATAAATACGGTAATCGACATATTTGAACATGTAAAATAATAATATACGGTGATTGACATAATTGATATTGTGATAAATAAAATGATAATTGGTCAAAATATCATTCAAAGTCATAACAATACAACATTCAAAGTTATAGTTGTGCTAATACGGTAATTGGAATATTTGAACATGCATAATATAGTAATTGCCATATAATACTTGAGATATTTGAACATGCATAATAATTTAAAGTAGTTTATATACTATGCTAGTTCGGTTTTTCAGACGGGTCGGGTATCATAATTGGTAACCCTACCCGCTTAAGTATCGGGTTACAAAAACGGATCGGGTTTGAGTATTTCAGTTCGGGTTTTCCAACCCCAACAAAAAAATCGGATATATCCGATCGGGTCAATCGGGTAGGGTCGGGTTTGCTCTCCCCTACCTGTATCAGAACACAAAAGCGACAATCATATGATCAAGTATCTTAACCTACGCCGTGCGCATTGTAAGAGGCTATGTGAGCTTCTAGTTTTTTTAATTTATTGGTATGTATATTTGAGATGTTATTATGTGTTTAGAAATTGGGCCATGATCCCGTTTAGAAAAGGATTGATCCCGTTTATGGGCTTTCTTTATAATTCCATATTTGGATCATGATCATAGTCCATGGTACCATCAACTTTAAAGATGTTTTTAATTGGACCGAAATTTTCTGGTCTGGTCTGAACTAGTCTGGTTTGGTTAATGTATGGTCACTGTGTATTTTATAACTATGTAAGCTAGTCTGGTATGATCTAGTCTGAACTGATCTGATTTGGTTTTATTTGGTATGGTTTGAGACTGCATAAACCCAAATAAAAACATCGAAAGAAGTATACACTGTAACACCGAAATAAAAAGCATATTTACAAGCACATATAAACATATTAGTGTAGGGTTTATTGCAATTGTAGCATAAAATCCAATATCTGAATAAAGATATTTTTACTTGTACAGTTTTCAGTCCCAAACCAAATTAGACCAAATTTAAACAAATCAGATCATACCAGATCAGACTTAAATAGATGAGACGAGCCCAGACCTAACTTCTGTAGTTACAAAATAAACAGAGACCAGACATTTTCCAGACCATATCAGACCAGTTCAGATCAAATCAGACTAGACCAGCAAATTTTAGTCCAAGTAAAAACACTCTAACTACACATGTTGCTATCAAAACTTACGCTTTTCCGCACCTCATATATTTTTATAATATTATTACTTAGTACGTACTAATTAAAACATGGAATAATGACACTAATATTACTGATGGAGTATTAACTTCTAGAGAGAAGTGAGAGCTAGAGAGAGAAGTGCAATAATTCTTTGCAATAAAATGATTTGTGAACCCCTACAACTACCCCCAAGGGGAGTATTTATAGAGGAAATTAGGGCTGGGCTCCCAAGTCTTGGGCTTAGGAGGTCCATTTACAATTGGGCCACTATTGGGCTGAGTACAAGATGTGTAGAAATAACTAAGTATGAAATCCGGTTCTGGGAGCCTTTTGTGGCCGACGCGGCCATGGCCGACGGAGCCCCGGCCGATGGGGACACCCGGTTCTCCTGGCTTCCGAACCATGTTCTGAGTTGATATCTTTCTGGCTGATGGGGGGCCATCTGGCCGACGGAGGCCCCACTGGGTGACAGCTGTGCCTCTCATTCTTCTGAGTATGTGGGTCCTGGGGTCCATGCTCATATACTCCATTAGGAGTCCCCCACTCTATGAGCTGAGATGTAGACGAAGTGTGGGAGAGTAAATTCCATGGTTTTGACGTTTTCTGGCCGTTATGGGATCGCTATGGGTGTCCCCCTGTTTTGGCCGTCATGCGCGTCCTTTGCTCTCGATCCTTGTTTTTGGTCGTTATGGGCGCTCTTCGTTCTTTATTTTTGGCCGTTGTATGGCCTTCACTGTGGACGAAGAGGGCTGATTTTCCTTCGAGGGGATAAGTTCGCTTGAGGACGATGAGTGCCCTGGTTCAGTGGCCGATATGAGCTCTTGGTCCGATGTGGGTGATGTTTCTTCTTTCTGGTTGCTGGCAGTTGCTTTTGGTGTCTTGGCCGAGGAGGCCAAATGATCGCTTTTGGGACAGAGGCCGAAGCGGTGGCATGCATAGTTTTAGTGCCCATTTTGAGGATGATAGCGCTACCGATCCGGAAGGAGTAGTGCACATTTTGATTTCATGGACGATGGTGACCTGAGGATGTTGGGTTCTTGTTATAATTTCCTGGCCGAGAGTGGAGTATGTGATCTCAAAGCCGTTGAATGGCGCACATTTAGGGACGATACGCGTCACATATTGGGAGGAGTTTCTTTGTTTGTTGTCTTCGTTGCGGCCGAAGGTACCCCACAAGTCATGGACGTTATGGTGTCCATATGTCCTAATGTTGTGTTGTGGACTTGGTGTATTTTTGGATTTTTTTTTGTCCTTTCTTGTATCCCGGAGGCCGGTGTAGTCCCCTAGTCCCCCACTGCTTCAGGCTGAAGAGGGAGCGAGGGGTGAAGGAGTAAGGTGTAACCCTAGGCCGAAGCGGGATTCTTGTATTCCCCTGAATCCAACCCCTTGGCGATTTCCTGAACAAGGTAACCCTGTGGGAGAACCCTTGGACGCAGGTCGCTTTCAAGAAGTTATCATCAGGGTTTTATACAAGTCCGATGGCTGTTGGGTTGTTATTTGCTCTGCTGTTGTGGCCGCTAAAGGGGCCATGTTGCTTGCAGTATGTTAAGCCGATATGGGCACATATTGTGGTTGATCAGTTGTTTGGAAAGATTAGACTGCTAAGGCCGTTGTTTCCATGCCCTGTGCGGGCAGATATTTCCGCTTGGGGTGGCCGTTGAATGGCTGGTCGTTATGGATGCTGATTATTGGTACGTTGGTGATGGACTGGTACTGATGGAAGTGGGCCTGACCCATCTTCTGAACCAGTGGCAGCCCAATGGGCCTTAGGAGTGGTGGCCGTTCGTGTGGCCAACGGGGGAGTGCCACATTTAGTGACCGTTGGGGGGGGGGGGTCTATAAATACTCCCCTTCAATCGAAGAGACTCCCTATTGCTTTCCGAGATAACGAAGTGCTGCCCAATTCTAGAGAGAGAGAGCTTGATCGTGTGTTCTTCAAAACTTCAAACATTCAAAGGTTAGTTCATCACATTTTTCTCCTCCTTTTATATACTTTGCTTCCCTAGGGTCTTGATCTAGTGTTAGTGGAAAATCACCCTTAGATCCAAAGTAATCCCCTCTAGGCCTTAGTTAGTCGTTATGATGAAACCTTTGGACGATGAGTACTATCCATATGACGATGAGGCATCCGTCAAGTCCCTAGACTACGGAATAGTTGAGGAGTGTTATGAGGAGATAGAAGAGCTGAGCTCCTTCAAGTCAGGGGAGCAAGAGGGTGAGGAGAACCAGGACGAGGAGGCCGCCTCGTCGTCAGAAGGTGAGGACGTAGGGGTTTCCCGCGCCATGGACAGAGCATCCAATTCAGCCACAATTCCCTGCCCAAAGCCTGTTTCTGCCGTTAAGGGGACCGCCCCGATGAGAAGGCGTCGGCCGAAGAAGGGTCTAGGTTTCTCCTACCCGGACCTCACGAACATCTACCTTATCAAGCCGGAGAGTAGCGCGGCTGATTACTTGGTGGCCCAGATGTATATGGGGCCGTATGGGAGGGTTAGGGTGTCCAGGCCGACGGATCATGTGCTTCAACCTCCGGCCGGGTATTTCGGGGTATACCCAATGAGTTTTGCTAAAGGACTTTGGTTCCCGCTTCATCCATTCATCACGGAGTACCTGGATATGGTGGGTATTCCTCCAGCCTTGCTGACCCCGAATAGCTATTCACTTATCGTCGGTTTCCTCCTTCGCTGTGATGAGCTAGACTTTAGGCCGACAACAGCTCTGTTTATGAATTTGTACCAGATAGGCCGAGGGAGGCACAAGAATTGTGCCTGTTACGCCACCCTCCAGCAGATAAAGAACAGGAGGTCCTTCACCGATCTTCCTTCGTCGATTCATGGCTGGAGGAGTAAGTTTGTTTTTGTGTCCTTGGGCGAG